GGTTAGTGGCACCTTCATTCGCCCTGTGTTCTCTAAATATTTTGCTGTTTAAAAAAGAGCACAGTGGTACACGCCCATGATCCAGTCCTCTGGGCGGCTGAGGCAGGGGTCCTGAGTCGGAGCCCAGCCTGGGAAGCAGTGATTTAGTGAGTTGGGTATGAAGCTCAGTGTGAAGGCCTTGGGTTCAATCCCCAGCCCCAGAAGAGAGAGCGAGGAGCGAGGTGGGACGGGAGGGAGGGAAAGCAAGGCGCGAGGACGGGTGCGGGCAGCGGGCAGAGGAGCGGCCCTTCCGGGTGTCAGGAGCGTTCTCACGCTGGATGAGCCATAAGCGACCGCCACAAGCTTGACTACAAATCGCCACATTTTGCGCCGGAAGCGAGTGGGTGTCAGACACTGCCAGCAAGGTTCCACTCCAAGATGCCGTGGGCCAGAGCACTGGGAGGAGAAGGTGGCAGCGTCTGGCCTGGCCTGGCCTTGCGGTCCCCGACCCCGGCCACGGGGCCAGAGAGGACCAGCGCGGAGGCGAGGGGCTCGGATCCTGACAAGCCCCAGGCGCACGGAGCTGCGGCACACTGGGGGCACGCAAGGCGGGCGGTGCCCTCAGTCTCAGGGCCGGTCGCACGGGCCTCGGGTCCATCCCCACCCAGCACAGTGGGCATGCAGCTCACAGCAGGAGCGGGAAGAGAGAGCAGACGGGCGCCGGGCCTAGGGCCTGGTGGTGCGCGCCTGTGACGAGTCCAGCACTCTAGGAGGACGGACGGGGAGTTCAAGTCCAGCCCGCGCACCGAGTGAGACACTGTCTCGAAATGAAACATAGGCCGGGCTGGGACACAGCTCAGGGCAAACGTCCTGATTCAGTCCCAGCGCAGAATAAGAAAGAAAGGAGAGGGAAGGAGGGAAGAAAAAGGGAAAGGAAAGGAAGAAGACAAGGAAAAAGAGAAAAAGAAAACAGAGAGGACAGGCAGAAAACCACTCCTAAAAACAAAAGCGCGGAGGCCTAGATGGAGGGCCGGACCCCAGCGGGGCCGTCAGGACGGGAAGTGCGGGTCACCTCAGCATGGGCGCTGGCCGGGCGCCGGCGGGAGGGGATAGAATGAAGCCCGCTGCATTTTCACTCTAACTGTGCAGTGCTGGGGTGGCACCCAGGGCCTGGGACAGCACTCTGCCACCAGCTACGCCCCCATTCCTGTGGTCACGGTTTTCACTTTCTTCTCTCCCTCTCTCTCTCTGCCCTCTTTTCCATGCCTTCCCTTCTCTTTCCTTCCTTCCTTTCCACCCACCTAATTGTCGGGTGTTAGGGATCAGACCCAGGGTCTTCACATTGAGCTACATCCCCAGCCCTTTTAAAATTTCTTTTTATTCTGAGACGGACACGAAAGTCATTAAGTTGCCTGACTGGGCTCAAACTTGTGATCCACCTGTCCTAGCCTCCTGCGAAGCTGGGATCACAGGTGGGCACCACCACTCTACACAAGGTAATAAAACAGGCTAAATGGACGAGGCTGGGAAGGGCTGAGACCCTCAGAAGGGCCACTTCAGGGCAGGGCCCGCGCTGGGCAATCAGGGCCCCCGGCAGCAACTGTGTCCAGCGAGAGAGGCCAATGCCACTCAGGGGCATTGCTGGGGCCTTGGGCAGCAAGAGCACCCTGCCCCTCGGGACATCAGAGCCCACGGGCGGGGTGGGGGCGCGGGTGAGGGACCGGGAGAACCGCGATGTGCTCCCTGCGCAGGGGCCGGGCGCCAGCTCCTGCAGTGGACAGAGGGACCAGGAGGCAGAGGCAGGACGTGCTTCCACCTGCTGGGTGCCCAGGGGAGCAGGTGCGAGCGTGGGGTGCGTCTGCCCCACCTCCCCGCCTCCCGGCCAGCCCTGCGGTCTGCGGCCCCTGCCCCGGCGGGGACCACTTCCCCCAGGGCCGCCTGTGTGCTCTGAGAGCAGCCCCAGGAGCCGCCCAAGCCGCCCCTGCCCCTGCCCCACCGCAGGCGACTGGGCCGCCTGCTCCCCACCTTGGTGCAGCTCAGTGGGGGCTGCCAGACCGAGTCAGGGCCCCACCTTCCACGGATGCTGAGACGCTGAGGGGCGCTGCCTGGGCCGTGGGAGGGCAAGAAGATGCGGCTCTAGGCCAAGGGAGATGGAGCAAGGATAAAAATTAGGTAACGATCAACTGGGGCGGGGGGCAGGAAGCTGTGCAAGGAGGAAGCAAACGGGATCATAGTCTGTTTGTTTGACTGACTCAGTAGTGAGCCATGTTTACGTGCTCAGCAGAGCAAAAAGATCACAGTGTGGGAGGCCACGGCGGGAGGATCTCAAGTGTAGGAGTTTGAGACCAGCCTCGGCAACACAGCAACTTCCCGTCTCAAATCGGAGCAGCTCTGCTGGGGCTGGGGGGAGAGGAAGTGATGCCCCCGGCTGCCCGCCACCCTGCCACCTGCGTCCTCTCCCAGGCCGCCCGACCGTGGCCCAGGCTCCCCCTGGGCCCACCTGGCAAGACCTGGCCCTGCAGTGTCGCTTCTCTCGGGCACTTACCGAGCCCCACTTCCTGTGCAGTGCGGCTGCCTGCTGCTGGTGCCGAAGTGCCCCTCCCATCTGGCTCTGCTCCCACGGGCAGGTTCCAGGCCGCCCTCTGCCTGGGTGGGGGCACCGAGACCACGTTAGAGCGAGCTTGGCCTCGGGCTCTGATGTGGACCTGGAGCCGCAGGGACACCCGAGGACCCCTGGTGCCTCCTCACCCTTGCTGTGAGTCCGGAGGAGGGTCGGCACACAGCAGGCGCTCGGTAGCGCAAAGGTGTAGACAAGGAGAAGATGAATGAGACTCAGCTGGCTGGGCACACACCTGTGATCCCAGCACTGGGGAGGCTGAGGCAGGAGGATCGCCGGGTTATTTAGTGAGTCCAAGGCCAGCCTGAACTATGTGACCAGACCCTGACTCTAAATAAATAAGTAAATAGGGCGGGGGATTGAGCTCAGTGGTTCCCGCAACAGCCTCGAAAGCGCAAGGTCCTGAGTTCAATCCCCGGTACCAAAAGCAACAAAACAAAACAAAAATAAATAAACAAATAAATAAATAATAAAAAATCACAGTGGATCTACGAGGACATCAATAATTATATAGAGTGGAACATCTATAGCTGGACTTAGAGAGAACCTTCTTCCCATTGAACTTTCTGCTTCTACCTGTTAACTTTTGAACCTGGAAGAACCGTTTTAACTTTTCTGCCTCAGCTTCCTGTGTCACGGGCAGGAATCAGGTTATCCCTTCCTCTCCTTGACAGGTGATGAACTGGGCCCCTCGGTTCTCCAGACGACAGCTCGGCCTGGCCCCGGTTTCGAGGACGGCCAGACAAGGAATCAGGGCATAAGGGCGTTGGGACTCTGGGAGGACAGGGGAGCGCTGAGAGGTGGAGGCGGGCTCTGCCCTGCGGCTCCCCGCCCCCCGTGCCCCCCACCAAAGGTCTGACCACAGCTGTCCTCAGCCCCTGCACCCACAGCGCCCCCTCCCCGCTTGTCCTCCCCTCGGGTCCCTTGCTGGTGGCCGGCATCCCTTCCGGGCCGCTGTGGCTCTGGACAAGGCAGGCAGGGGGCGGGGAGGCGGAGGTGACAGAGGCCGGGCTGGAGGAGGAGGACAGAGCTGAGCCTGGCAGAGGGCTCCAAGTTCCTCCCTGGCCAGCGCCCCGCGCTCCTCCCCCTGCTGCTCCCCAGGGACTGCAGCTCCCAAGCCGGCCTGGGTCCCAGAGGCAGCACAGGGCCTCGGCCCCCCAGCCCTCGCTCTGGGCCCCCAGGGAGGGGAGAGGCCGCCCACTGCCGGATGATGCGAGCCAAGGTCTGTCTGTGCCCAGCCCTGCAGGCTGCCTCGGCCGCACTCTCTTCCCCGTTTCTGCCTCTCAGAAGAGGCCTGGGGCAGGCGCAGGAGGCGCTGTAGGTAGGAGAGGCTAGGACGAGGCTGCGCTGAGCTTTGCTAAGATCAGTAGGGAACTTGTAAAAGCAGCTTCTGCCTTCATAGGCAGACTCTGCAGCTGGGGTAATGACAGAAACAGGAGGGAGAGAGAAAGTAGAGCGAGAGGGCACAGGTTAGTTGCCGTGAGCCTTTCTCAAGAAGGGTTCATACGGAGGAAGCTGGACACGAAGGCAGGGGAGCCTGCTGTCCTCACCACCAGACAGAGCGCAGGGAAGGAGAGAAAGACACCTAAGGACTCTGACTTGATGTGCCAGACACGTATGCACACGTGGGCACATGCACACACATCCATGCACACCCATGTGTGTGTCCTCACTGTAGCTCAGTGGCTCCAGCGTCCACCTGGGGAGGGGAAGACATCGTGTCCCATAAAGGGAGCCCTGGACGGGAGCTCCTGGGCCTTTGGCTCTGAAGCCCCTCCTACCCATCCCAGAGCTGTCTATCCTGTTTCTTTTCCATTTTTTCTCCCCAGATAAACCGCCTTTCATTACGCTAAACTTGCCCTTTCTTAGTTTGTAATGGCGCCGGGTTTAGCATAGGGAAGCGGGGTCCAGAGAGCAGTGGCACAGAGCGACACAGTGCAGCAGAGGCCACCCCTGGACGTGACATGGGGCGGGCAGCAGTGGCTGCCTGGGCCTGTGTGACAGAGTGACAGACCTGCCTCCGGGCCCCTGACGGACAGGGCGGCCCAGGCCCGGGAGCCTGCCGGGCGGCAGAGGATGGTCCGAGGGCTGAGGCTGAGACTGAGCGGCCCGGAGCAGAGGACATGTCCTGGTGCCGGTGTGCCGGCCCACACGTAGAGCAGCAGACTCTGCAGGCTCGGGAAGGCTGGGCCACCTGGCCACACACTGGAGAGGGTGATGATTCCAAGTCAGAACCGGCTTTGGAGCCGGGGAGTGCAGACCCAGCTGCAGCTCTGGGCAGTGGGACCAGAGAGGTTTTGACTTTTAGCAAGGCGTGGTGGTGCACGCCTGGGATCCCAGCACCAGGGGAGGAGGGGGCAGCGCGTCCCAAGTTTGAGCCAAGCTCGGCAACTTGGTGACTTACCCTGTCTCAAAATCAGTCAGTCAGAAATGAAGGGCTGGGGACGTAGCTGACTGTGAAGGTCTGGGGCTGAACCTCCGGGGAGAGGGAGAAAGATTTCCTCTTCTTAGACCCACACTCTATTCTGCAGGGCCTGCAGTAGCCGCCACTCCCAGCCCAGGGAGAATGACCTGAGTTCTCCCACTGCCCACTTCCTCCACAGCCTGGGAGCGGAAGCTGCTCACAGTTTTTACCCCTGGTGCTTCCGAAAGTGGGAAATTCACAGCCCCAAAGTTGCGGCTGAACTCCCCATAGTGCCCTGGGCAGACCAGGCAGGAGGATGCCCCAGGACCGTGCCCAGGAGGGACGCGTCCTGCTGGCCAGCTGCCTGGGGGGTGGGAAGTGCCACAGGACCCTCCTCTCATGCCCAGTGCGCCCGCCCAAAGCCCAGGCTGCTGCCCCTGGGCAGAGGTGCCGGCCCAGCAGTCTCTCGTGGGCCAGGCGAGCAGAGTGGCCTTGGTCTGGCGCTGGGCCGGGGCTGGCCACTCCCGAGGACAGTGTCCCGGGACCAGGTGGGGCAGCCACTCACCAGGGCGGTGCCCTTCGGGGAGCTTCAGGAGTGAGCAGGGCGTCCTTGGGGCGCTGGGCCGAGCTGTGCAGCGGTCCTGCCTGCCTCAGTCTCCAAATCTGTGTCCCAGGATGGGGCTGCCCACTGTGTGTGCGGGCGGCAGGAAGTCAGGGCTGGGCCGAGGACACGGGCTGGGCGGGGAGGGCTAAGGGTCACGGCAAACAGGTCGGGCAAGTTGTTTCCTGCAGGCAGGACCTGCGAACACAGGGAGGGGCCTCAGTGCTCCCTGTACGCACGGCTGGAGGCTCCACACCAGGGCCGAGGGCGCAGCTCGGGGCCTGCTCTCACCTTGCCCGTGGCCAAGCGGGCACTGACGGGATGTGGAGGCCACGCAGGAGGCACTGCAGATGCAAAGCGGAGTGGCCTCTCCTCCACCCGGAGCAGACGCCCTCCGCCTTCTCTGCTGTCTTGTTTATGTTTTGCGTTAGGGGTCTTTTTTTCACATGAACGCAAGTTTTATTCAAGAGATATTTAAAGAGGTGAATTCTAACAAAGCTTACGAGTCATGTACCCCACAGTACGGAGTAGAAGTGGGTGCCCCCACCCCCACCCGTCCCGGCTCTGAAGGCATCGACTGTGACGGCCACGCGGGAGCCAGCGAAGACGGAGCAGCCTTGCGCCCGGGTCCCAAACACCGACTCTGCTTAGGGCTTCTCGTGGGGTCTCACATGGGGCCCAGGCTGGTCACTGCTTTTCCTGTCTGTCCAAGTCCTTATTCAGTCACCAAGGCCCTGGGCAGAAGCCCCCGGGACCCCACCCAGTGATACTGGAAGGGTGAGGGGCGGCAGCACCGGGTGGGCCTCAGGACTTTGCTCCACGGGCACAGCGGGCGAGGGGCTGCGCCAGGCTGTGCAGGGACCACAGCCCCACTGCAGCCCTCCTCACCCGCCCCGGGCACAGGACTCATGGTAGAGATGGGGAAACTGAGGCTCAGGAGGCCCAGGCCTTGGCTGAGTCAGGGTGCAGGCAGAGCAGGGACCCAGCCCCCGGGCCTGGGCACCGATCGGTGGTGGGCAGCCCGTGGCTCCGGTGGGGGGCCTGACACTGGGCATGAGGATGGGCATCTGCCCAGGCTAGGTCAGCTGCAGTGGCCTCAGGAGTGAGCAGGACCAGCACCTGCCAAGGGGCCTGCAGGGCAGCCCCACACTCCCTGGCCAGGAAGTCCAGGAGCGCCTCAAGCACCGGGTGGGTACGAGGGCGAAGAGCGCCCTCTGGTGACGGGAGCAGTCACAGGGGAAACCCGCAGAATCCTGACTAGCCAAGGTTGGCCTGTGACGCTGGCTGGGGCAGCTCGGGACCGGCCAGGAGCAGCGCCCAGACGAAGGGCAGTGACCACTGCTGTCCTCGGGCCTCACACACTGGCAGGAGCCGGAGCAGTTGCTGGACAGGCCTTCATTCGCCTGCAGTCCCGTCCCCAACCCACTCAGCAGCTGCTCTAGAGGGGGCGCTGGTCGTTCTGGGGGGTCCTGGGCTCTAGAATTTCGGTCAGAGCACATGGCTGACAGCTGTCCTCAGCCACGCTCCTGAGCACAGAGTCTCACATCCACCAAGCAGGCACCAGAAGGCCTGGACTTGGTAGATGAGAGGTGATCAACATGCATGGCCAATGTTCAAATTAAAAACTTTATCACAGTGAAAAACACTTTGGTAAGAATCCCCCTGAGTCCTCCCCTTTCCTCAAACACACTCATCCCATCATTCTGGCCACTTTCCTGAGCTGCTCTGGAGTCCTCTTTCATGAGTGTCTCTGTGAGCGTGACCAAAAACACAGTGAATGCTGCTGCGGCCTCAGTCAGAATACCCATCACCTGCAACCAAAGGAGGAGAGGTTTATCTGGCTCACGGTTCCAGAAGGCTCAGTCCATGTTCAGATGGCTAAACAGACAAAGCATGGTGGAAGGGCCTGAGCAGAGGACAGCTGCTCCCATCACGGCGATCAGGAAGCAAGGAGACAGGCTGGGAGCCAGGGTGCGATGTCCTCTCTTCCAGATCACACCCCAGGGACTGCTCTCCAACCAGGCCCCACCTCTGAACACTTGACACCTGTGTCCTCATCCACCTCATCCACCAGAGCTGGCACCGTGCGACTTCCGGCTCTTCCCCAGAGTCAAGATGGCCATGACAGGGAAACGTTTTGAATCCATTCAGGACACCAAGGCAGACAGGACAGCACAGCTAAAGGCACTCGGGAAAGAGGACTGCAGAGCCGGTGCAGGAAGGGGCGAGGACCACGAGAGGAGCATGTGTGAAGTGAGGCTGAGGACTTTGAGGTTTGCTTTTCAAGGCAGCATTCATGTACTTTTAGATCACACCTTGTAAATATCAGTCGCCAGACCTGTGACACACCTCTCCTGAAAGTGCTCTTCAGCAAGCTTGTTTGTGTGTCTAAGGGGACACCGTGCTGTCCACCGCGGCTGGAGCCCGGGGAGCGATGTGCTCGGATGGGGCCATGTCACACCAGCACTCCTGTGTGGCCCTGGAGAGGGCAAGGCGAGCGGGGCGAACGTCAAAGTCTCTGTTTCCTGGGAGAAGGGAGCTGCAGAGCAGAGTGGGGACCTGACCCGTGTGACCAAGGACAATACCTTTCCCAGAGAAGATCTCTTGGTGCAGAAGTTTCTAGAAAGTCGACCAGAAGCCACTGGTCACAGCTGGGCACAGGTGGGAAGCAGGGCTGGGAGGCCACAGCTGGCCTTCGTCAGGAGGATTCCTCAGGGACAGGCCTCGGGGACAGCGGGTCAGGGCGGTGGTGCCACTTCCTCCCCTCCTGAGACAGAGCCACCTCTCCTGTGAGGGGCGCGCCCGCAGGGCCGGGGGAAAGGACACGGCCTTCACGGGGAGGAGCCGTCGGCAGGACTGGGAGAATGGCAGGTCTTCCTTCAGCCTTCCTACCAGCTTAGTTTTCCACTGCCGCCTCTTGTTGGGCCAGAGGCTTCTGTCCAACCAAGGCTTTGCCTTGCCTTTGGGTCTTTACTTCCCGTGAGGCTCCTGGGTCACATAAGCCTATGGTCCTATGTAGCAGACATCCCTGCCCAGTACTAGCAGGCTATGAGTGGCACTTGCTTCTTGCTTTCCATAATTCGGCTGTATTGTTTTATATCAGGAGTCAGACCAAGGTCCTGTGTGACTGAGATGGGTGGGTCAGATGGCGGACTGGGCGAGTATAGTGTCTCTCTCAGTGGCTGCCACGGAAACCTAGGCCCTGGTCTATGAAGTGCAGGGCTCTGCTGAGTTACGTGCAGCTGAGGTCAGCATGACTCCAATTAAAGTCCTCTCCCCTGAATTACAGCTTCTCATGGACCTGATGGGTTGCTAATTGCACCTGGTCACAGTACCGGTCTGTTCTATCCTAGCAAGATAAACAGTGTTTCCTCCCTGACAGCCCTGCCTGGCGCCATCATGCCAGGTGTTGGGCAGTGTTTCACTGGATGCCTTCAAAGCCCAGCCTGCTCCCTATTCCTTCCCACGGGTGTATTCAATAAACACTGGATGCAGTTGGGGCCTTTGTCTTTGTTGCCATCGGCAGCACTGACCAGGACCCAAGACCCTAAGTCTCATTTCCTGTCTTTATTCTTTAGCCTTGTGCTGTAGTGGCTCATAGGAGGCCAGGACCCACTGCAGGGGTTCTGGTAACCTCCCCGTTCCTATTCCCTAAAGCCCCATGTCTGCTTTTCCCATTTATCTTATGTCTGTTTAATGTCCAGCCCTGGCTCGGACTGCAGGAAGATGGAGGTGACAATGCCCCTCCCCAACCTATCATGTATGTAGTACCTCTTTTCAAAGAACGTTCAGCAGTCCCAGCACTCAAGAGGCTGAGGCAGGAGGACTGCCACGAGTTCCAGGCCAGCCTGGACTACAGCAAGATTCTCTGAAAAAACCATCCCACCCCAGAAACCATCCTCCGGGAACTGATGGGGACAGCTCCCCTCTTGGTCATGGTCCCTTCCAGAGCCCTCTCCCTCCCTGAACCTGACCAGCTTCCTCCAGGACTTCCACCTTCGCCCTAGGTAATTTACAGTGAGCGGGAACTTGTTGGCTCAGGGGCTCTGGAGCTGGGAAGCCCCAAATGGAGCAGCTGGTGCTGGGCGAGATCCTTCTCGCTCCCCGGTCCCGGGGACAGGTAGAGAGGATGGGAGAGTCAGAGGGCTGGTTCACCCTTTCACCCAGAGGGCTGGTTCACCCACGATGGCTTCGACCCACTCACTGGGCCAGTGCCCTCGGGGGCTGCTCGCCTATCAGGCCCAGCTCTTGGTGCAAAGGCGAATCCATGTGAACAGGAGCTTGGCAGGTGGCGACTGTCACTCGGCCGCTGACCGCAGTGCTGTGGGCAGGGAGGAGGAGGCGGCTCCCGCTCGGGCTTTCGCAGCCAGTGTCGTGTGTGAACTCAGGCAGAAGGGTGAGCGAAAGGAGCCGCATCCCAGGCACAGCGCCCCAAGCTGGGGGCTCAGACAGAGCAGATGACAGACCCCAGCTGCACAGTTAAACAGCGCTCCAGGGCCTACCGGTCAGAGCTGTGCTAGGTGAAGAAGAAAACTTGTGAAAGCTGCTGAGTCATCCACTGCGGACATACGCTCAGGTCAGCCTAGAATAAGTCCCCACGGCCGTCTATCACAGAGGGCCACCCTTGGGTTCACCTGCATCTCCTGGCATCCTGCATCCTTCCTGGGCGGGGCTCCAGTTCTGCCTGGACCCCACTGCCCCTCTCCAGAGCCCATCTCCCTGTGGGTCCTGGACAGGTTTGTCCTGTTGTCCCGTGCCCTCACCATAATGGGGGGTTATGAGGGGATGACCCTATCCGGGCTGGGCCTGGACTCAGCCGCCTTCCTTGGGGCCCAACCAGAGCACGTTGTGTTTTGCTTTTCACTATGTTCCCAAGGGGATGGTGGGAATCACTGCTGACGCTTGGCCTGTTTTCCCCAGCACCGGGCTGGATGCACTGAGGCGGATGAGCAGGGAGCAGACTGCACGGAGGGAGACTGGCATGGCTGCAGCAGGTCATTCCCCCCTGGTCTCCCCTAAAGTGTTCTTATAACCTCAGATTCCAGGGACCTGCCCTGAGGCCACATGCAACAATGCACAGGAAAAGACTGCCGAGGAGGGACAGGGGACAGCCCCACCCCGGCCCACTCCAGCCTGCGACAATGACGCCGATCTTCCCGCGCCCTTTCTTCCTCTTGCCCGCGGCCTTTTGCTGAGGACAACGGCCACGGGTCCCAACGTCGTTTAGAGCCCACCACGGGCCCCGGGGGCCAAACTGCGCACGCGCGCCGGAAGCCACTTCCGGTGCTGGCGGAACTCGGAACCCCCGCGCTGCCGCTCCTGTTTCCGCCGGGCGGTGTGCGCGGAGAACCAACTTCCGGGTTCCGCGAGGTTCTCACCGGAGAAGATGGGGAAAGTGCGAGGGCTGCGAGCCCGGGTGCACCAGGCCGCCGTGAGGCCCAGGGCGGAGCCCGCGGCCGGCCCCGCACCCCCGGCTCCCGGGGCGGCCCTTCCACCGGCCTCGGCGGGCGGAGCGGGTGCGAAGGTGAGGCCGGCCTGGCGGGGAGCCCACGGGGCGGGGAAAGCGCTTTAAACAGGCGGGGCGGCGGGGCGTGCCCGGCCTCGCCCGCGAGCGCCCTCCGGTGGTCTCCCAAGGCGGGTGAGGGTTCCCTGCCGGGTCGGCTCGCTGCCTGTGGAGGGCGGGCCCGGCGGCGGCGGCGGCGGCGGCGGCGGGGCCTGCGGGGCCTGCGGGGCCTGCGCTTTCGCCTCGGCAGTGGCAGTGATGTGCCGTGCCGCTTTCTGCGCCCGCTTCCCCTTGGCCGCCCTCTCCGGTAGAGCCTGTGCCTGAGGGCGCGCTCCTGGTGTGGCCCGCAGCCCTGGGCCAGGGGAGCTTCCGGGTCATTTCTGTGAGGTGAAGGGGAGCGGTTTGTTTCCTTTCTCCCTCTTACCCCCCTTCCCCCTTTCCCCTCCTCTTTCTTTTCCTCCTTTTTTTGTGATAGGCTCTTGCTATGTAGCCCAGGCTGGCCTTGAACTCCGTGGCGATCCTCCTGCCTTGGCCTGCTGAGTGCTAGGATATGGGAGTGCAAAGGTTCAATCCTTAGTACTTAAAGCAGCAAGCAGAACTTGAAAGTATGAAAAATTGAAGTTTAATGTGGATAGAGAAGAAAGCAGAAGTTCGGATTTTTAATCTAGTAATATTGTAATATTTGAGAGACACACAACATCGCGCCGGTGTGTCTTTTATGTTAAGCATAAATCCTCGGAGAGACGGGCTGTCTTTACAGCATCTGTCTGTGCAGGGTTTCCGGGCTCTTCTGACCCGTGCGCGCAGAGGAGGCAGAGGGAGACGACTCCCCTGGGGTCTCCTCTCCTGCTTTCAGAATGGGGCAGTCACAGCACCTGCTGTTAGTTCTTCTGGCACCTGCTGTTAGTTCAGGTCCCTTTAGCCCGAAATCATCTTTCCATCAGGAGCAGCATATTTGGGGTGGTCAGAAAGGTCCCCTCTTGGGCTTGATGCTGTGGTCTCTGTGGAATCCATAGAGCTTGGGTATTGAATGAGCTAGGTGGGGCCTCTGGCCTACCACAGTGTGGCCAGCAGAGGGGCTTGCTTCAGGGTGATGTGGGTCATAGGTAGACCTGGGAGCAGGGCTGGGAGCAGGGCCAAGCTGAGCTGCTGTGCCCTGTGCTTGGAGAGGTGGGGGGAGCCTGGTTCCTGCTCTTGAGAGCGCTGCTGAGAGTGAGGCGCAGGGGATCGGGAATGAGGCAGGAAGGCAGCGCCCCTCCAGTCCCCAGCGATTAAGCAAAGCTCACCTGGTGATCCGTGTCTTGTATGTCCTCCCTGTGCTGGACCACTGGCCTCCCATCTCCTGAAGCCACGGAGCCAGCCTGATGTCACCTTTCTCTCCTTTCCACTGGGCCTTGCAGGACTGGGGGTTCATCCACACCAACGTCTTTGCCGGGACCCAGATAGACCCGAGCGCCCTGGTGCAGAGGCTGGAGGTGGACACGAGAAGTGTGGCCTCCTTCGGGAGAGGTGAGTGGCTGTCCGGAGTGGGGGTGTGCCGCGGACCAGCCCCAGTCGATGTAGGGTAGGAAGGGGAGATGTCCTGGGCCGGCGATGAGAAAAGAACCTTCACAATCAATGTTCAGGTTCCCTCTGAGAAGTCTCAGGGTCTGATTTATTTTTATATCTTTAAGCAATAGCGAAGAGGCATTGGGCGGAACATGTTGCCTTAGCAATATCTGATGAGGTAAAGGTTATTTTTGTTAAACAGTATATTTTTTCTAAGCTGATTCATATCATTGAACATCATGAATACATTTCTTAAAAATTACAATTGTTCCCTCATTGTCCCATACCTAAGCAGAACAGAAAGTAACTTAATCAAATTAAATGTCAAACTTGTGGTCACCAGCTAGCCCTTGAGAAACTGCACAACGGTTAATATAGTTTGCTATTAGCTCTATTCATCTTAACTAAATGTCATTTGGGTTCATAGTCCATGAGCAGGAGATATTTACAGCACTTTGAGAAATACTGAGTAATTTGCCTCCTTAATGCATTTACCTGTCTTAACGTTCTTTCTATTTCCCATTTCCCACTATTTCTTACATCTAAAGTCTGTCCTTTCAATCTCTTTATAAGACCCCTTTAGTAAAAAGAATGTCAGCAATAAGAGGGGGGAGTCATAGTAGTGGGAAAACAGCGGGGGTTTTAAGAGAGGTTTCTTTAGGAGTGGATGTGGCAATAGAACTAAGAGAAACTGGAATTTGAGACTTTTGAGCCAGATCAGATTTCAATACATCGTTGCCAATTAGCCTTATGGAGCGTTTGTTGTTAGTCACAAACACAATGACTCCTGTGACCAGAGGAACAATTGTAAACATTATGGCAAGAAAAAATAAAACATGAGGGTACGATGTGTTCCACCCTTTCTTTCCCCCAGCTGGAACTTTGTCAAGCAGCATTGGAGGACGGTTGGGCTTCCCCAGGGGTGCCAGTGCTGAGCAAATTAACCTGTATTTTTATTTTATTTATTTATTTTGGTACCGGGGATCGAACTCGGGTCCTTGCGCTTGTGCAGCAGGCGGCGAAACCACTGAGCTAAATCCCTGGCCCCTAACCTGTATTTTTAGAAAAGATCTGATTTTTATGGAAAAATTAAGGAATAGTTTTGAGAAAGCCCATGAACCTGTCATGTGCCTTCAGCACCCACATACTAATGGTTTTAAAGTGAATCCCAGACTCTGGTGTTTCATTCGGAAGTTCTTTGGTGTATTTCTGAGGGCTTTTAACAGAGCTTACCTGCAGTACCGTCATCTCGAGGTGGGCAAGCAGTTCCTTTCTATCATGAGAACAGCACACACATCCGCAATGACTGTCGTGGCGGGAACAGGTGCGACCATGGCTCCTTGCCCAGCTTTTCCTTCAGGTTCCTTATGCTGTGGAAGGAAGTCGCTTCTCACGTCTGGGGCTTCGCTGATGCAGTCCCCTAGCCTCCTTTATTCTGGTTCTCCGACCAGCTGGCCTGTTAGGCCTGTGGGTGGAGAGCAGCCCTCCACACTGGGAGCTGCAGGGCCTCAGGCTCTGCCTTGGCTCTGGAGAGGAGCCTTTGTGTACTCTGAGTGCTGGCAGCCGGGTGACCAGATCCTCCCAGGAGGCTGCTGGCCCTGTTCTTTGGGTCTCTGCTTTCATCTGCACACTTTCCATCCTGTTTAGCCTTCGGTGCTTGGATAGCTTCCTTTTTGTCTCACTAATCCAACACTTGTTGTCTCAGTGATGTGTTTGATTTTTTTAATTGGATTGAACTCCTGATGAACCGCTCCCGGGGTTTCCTGTGATTTTTATTTTTTTTCAAGTTTCCATTTACAGTTTGTAAGCACCTCTCGTGGTGAGTTGTAATTATGTCTCAGGTACGGTTTTAGCCAGATGTTTTCTGCATCATTGCTTTGGATTTTGTGATTTTGCCGGGGTCACGTTCGGGTGCCCTGCTGTCCTTTCAGCCGTGACTCCCTCTTGCTGACAGCTCTCAGGGTGACAGCTGGAGTGCATGGCAACTCATGCTGCCTGGTGTTTCCTGACTGTGTTGCTGGGCCTGCCCGGCACCCGGCCAGCTGTGCTAGCTGAGTCTGCCTTGTGGCTGGAGCCCAGGCCTGTGGTTTTTTGGGGACTCACAGGAGCAAATGGCTTTTGCATGTTTTCATCCTCCCAAGCTTTGTGTGCAGTTAGGGCAGTTTGAGTCAGCTTCCTTAGATGTGAGAATGCTTTTTGGGGGGCTACTGGGAATTGAACCCAGGACCTCACACATGCGAGGCACATCCAAAACTGCTGAGCCGCTGGGTTAGGTGTCCCTCGCATGCACTTCTTGTTGAGTCTCCCTGGTTGGCACCATGCATTGGTTGTCCCATCCCTGGCATACAGCACTCTGGTCAGGTTTTCCTCCAGTCTCCCAGAGCATTAACAGTGAATTAACTGCCTTGCCTGGCTTTGCAGCCTCCACCCAGCCTATCTTGTCCTGTGCAGACCGGGTAGGCTTGGTTTCTACCTGTTCTCTGAAGTCCCAGGGCTCTAAATCCCTGCCCTGCAGCATGCTGCTCCCTTGGTGTCCTTGGGAGGGCTCCCCAGTCCCTTCCCCATGCCGGGGCACGTGGCGGTGGAGCAGGAGTGGCCATCCCAGGTGCAGCTGGCAGGCGAGCGTCCTGTGTCTGCGCACAGACCCTCTGCCTGCCCCTCGTCATGGAGTGCTTTCTCAAAAGGCTTAACAGAACAGTTAGTCTGAGTACTTCGGATGAGGAATACAAAAATCTGGACCCTTTTATTTGTTCATAAAAGCCCTGGGTAAGAGGGCAGCAGTTCTGCTCCGGACGGGCCCAGCCCCAGTGTACCTGGGTCCTTGGCTTCCTTTCCGTGAGGGTCCCAGGGGACTGGGTTATCCAGCTGCACCTCCCTGCCTCGCTCTGCCCCTGCCTGGCCCTGGCCCAGCGTGGCCTGCACTTTGCCAGCTGTGACTTGTGCCACAGTCCCAGGAGGATTCGGAGAGATGCTCCTGTGAGAGCCCACCCAGGTCCTGACAATCTGGGTTCCTGGTGGGCCCAAGGCAGCTTCCAGCACGCTCTCCTTGGCTGCACCCCTCCCATCCCCCATCTTCCGGGGAGCAGCCTGGCTGCTGTGTCCTGGACCATGGCTCTGGGCCCTGGTCTCCGGTGTGTGTCCTCAGCACTGGCCCTGGGTGGACATAGGCGACTGTGGAAGCTCACCGAGGATCCTGGCGCAAGCGGCCAGCCATGCTCCCTCTGTGCCATGGTGTGAAAGATGTGGCCTCTAGCTGTGGCCCAGAAGCTGAAGCCTGCAGACCCTAGGGAGGCCGCCCAGGTGTGGCGGGCTCCCTCCTCTGAGGCCTGGCCTGGCTAAGCCTCAGGGTCCCCAGGCAGTGGGGCCCAGCTCAGCCCCTCCTCATCCATAGGTAGAAGAAGGGCTTGCAGCTCCCAGTCTCCTGCTAGGAGGGTAGGTGGGTCACAGGACTCCTGCGCATGCAGTGCTCATCCTTGTCATGCCTGGCGCCCTGGAGCTGAGGAAGCCTCAGAGGCATGGCCCAGAGGCAGAGCCCTGCCCAGTCTGCGCCCTGGGACCCTGCCCTGCCACAGCACCTGCAGCCCGGGGGCAGAGTCTCCGGGTGTAGACCTGGGTGCTCCGGTCTTTTCTGTTTGTGCTGGAGCCCCGTCCCCCGTGCCCCTGCTCTGCCCTTCCAGGCAGGGACCCTGGCTGGGAGGATCTGTGTAGCTCTGCAGCAGCTCTCTAGGAAGAGGGGCAAGGAGAAAGGCAAGAGCTTGCAGAGAGTGGCTGCTCTGAAGCACCCTAGCCACTCTCCCATGACCCTATTCCCACACAGGCTCCGCATTGCCCTGTGCGTCAGGGCCAGCGCTGGAAGGGCTTCCTGGGGGTGCTGGGCCCATGTGAAGCAGCTCTCGGCAACTCCGAGTCCAGCAGTGGGTGGGGCTTGAGGACAGTGCCAGACCCAAGCAAGGCCCCTGGAATCCCGGGATGTGCAGCAAGCTAGGAGCCTTGTGCTCGGCCTGCCCAGGGGTGCACCTGGAACCTGTGTCCTTCCACCTAGGCACAGAGCTCACACCAGCACGGGCTCGCACGGAGGCCAGCTGGGACCTCAGACAGGCACCTGGGGGACAGCCCAGTGCTGTCTCATCACTTGGGTGGCGCTCAGGTGGCTGTGCAGGCTTCCAGGAGGAGCCCTGAGGGCATTCACGCGGCCCCCTCAGGTGTCGGTCCCCTTTGGGAGGTCAGCGTCCCCTGTGCACCCGTGCTCTGCCCAGCAGAGGGCAGCAGAGCCGTGTGTCCTTTCAGGTCAGCTGCTAGAGGACAGGCCAGGGATGGAGCGTGTGCGTTGGGCTTCCCCCGCCTGAGGAAGCCCAGGGTCTCCTTCAGGTGTTTCTAGAAAGACAGCTGAGACAGGAACCTCCTGTAACCAGCTCTGCACGTGTGTCTGCCTGGCCCCAAACTTACAGTGGCGCAGGCGAGGTGAGCTCTGAGAGACCTCTGTGAGGCCGCCCTGCCTGTCACTCTGTGGGAGCTGCTGAGCCGTGCCTCGTCCTGCAGACATGGCCAGTCTGGCCCTGTGTTTCTGTATCGGCCGTCGGTGGGATTTCTTGGGTGTCCTGTCCCACTGTCATGGAGCACAGTGCTGCAGGGTTTTCTCGGCCAGGCGGACAAAGAGCCAGCGTGGAGCCAGCTGACTGGGTTCTGTCCTGTGCACCGCCCACCCACCCCCAACCTGGGGCTTTCTGGGCTCAGTGCCTTTGTCCTCAGGGATGGGGGACCTGGGAGCTCATCCTTGTAGAGCTGGACAGGCGGGTAATGAGACCGGGCTGTGCCCCTGCCAGACACAGAGGCCCTGTCCCTCCCCAGCAGTCCCAGCACTGGCCACAGCTGCTCAGACAGCATGGGGCCCGAGTGGAAGCCTCCTGTTGGGCTGAAGGCCTGCGAAGCAGTTGGAAGGTGCAGCAGAAGGCTGGTCCTGC